TCCGATGTTGATAGAAAAAGCAGAACTAACGGTGCGGTTGTTAACGCCTGTGATATCAATATTATCGGCATACGCAAGTAGTTGTACACTCTTGTAAAAGATTACACTTTGTCTATTTAGCTCTGTACCTCTTATCATTTTGTCCAGCATCTACCTCGTTTGGTACCGAACAAGTCGGTGAAGTCTTTCCCAATTCTGCCTGCGTTTCTGGTACTTCCCAACGTCAGTTTACATAGCCGTATAAGTTTTTCGTGGATACCGAATTCAGGCATAATGTCGTAGAGACAGCTCCTTTTCGTAACATCGAAAAAATCGGAAAATATACGAAGAGGTGGTGTGTGTCGATCATCTTTTCACGGTTCTTTCAAATGATTTGTTGAATGGTTTCGTTAACGTATAACCCGTTATGTAAATTTAATTATGTGGGATTACGACATACGTTAACGTGTGCTCGTTGTCGTAATTCGGTATGATTCGTTCGGAATGGCCATACGTTAACGAGTATTTCCTTAAGAATTGTCATTCGATTACAATAACACATCCAAATTTAGCAAAACAACTTTTGCCAAAGTAAATGATTGGCTCGCCAGTTAAGGAAATCAAAACGTGGAAGAAAGTATATAAATATAAATTTGCCTTTAATTCGATTTTTTTCTGAACGTTATATTTGAGGTATAAACTGACCAAAAGTACCAGGCGAATAAAAAATTGCAAGTTCCCTTAATCGCCTCCTTACAATTCATTCATCGCCATCACTTTCATAAGTTTTTTTTTTATAAAATATTAAGCATTTGCGTACAGCTGATTCAAAATTTTAAGAGAATAATGTAAAAGATGGACATGAAATCTCTTACATTTTCAAATTATTACGATCCGTTTGGTTTCGTATGGCATCATCACAATAATACGATTTACGTATCACGGAATTTTATTTCGTACGACTGCCGATAAGTTCAAAGAACGCACGATTCGACCCCAGGTCTACCTTGAAAATCTGGCAGATTACGATACGGTACGGCACAATAAAACCAAACTTTATTTTTGATTGATTTTATAAGAGCTTTGGATTTGATTTAAAAAAAATTAATTTCGGAGAATTGTATCAAATATTTGACGGCCAGCTTTGAGTTTCAGTGCATCTATTGTGCATCTATATGTGATTTTGTCGCTGTAGCCTAGAGGCGTTAAATACATTGAACGGTCCTAAAAGTGAAATCAATTGCTAACTGAACTCGCCCATCGAAACGTGATTTTTTCGGGATGCATTGCTGCTGGTTGCTCGTCACTCCAAGCAAATTTGCTTGTTCTCGTATAGATTCAACCAATAGCTGAATCGCTAAAAAAGTAGATCTTGATCTAACTTTGTCATTGCTCATTCACTAAAAGTTGGATGTCTTGGTAAGTCGTACAGTCTCAATTCTTGTACCAGCATCCGCTATATTTTACCGAATTAAAGTAAATTTAGTGCGAAATTTAGATACAAGATTCCGAATAGCCACCTCAATAGGTCGACCAGACTGTAAATAAAATGGAAGAAATGCACGATACATTTTCTTAATCTAGCATGGGTTTTGAAAATAAAATAAAATAATTTGTTTCTTGATTAAATTATCGACCAAACTGAACATTTTCGACAATGACGCAATGCACGAGGCACGCGTGAACTGTCAAAAACATTGTTGCCAAAAAGAAAGTTGCTAAAAAAATTGATTTTCTACCATTTTTGAGATGGAAATATTAATTCACGATTTTCTAATACGAGGTGTTATTTTGAAATTCACAGAAAAATGGAAGATATGTACATTTGTATACAGGACCGTATTGCTTTGATGAAATTTTCCATCACCAAAGTGGCTGCTGTATGCCCTGATTAGTTTCACGAATTACGTCTTTGAGGTCTTGAAACCACTTTGGCCTGTTGGTGTGGAACTTATCTTAAGCGTGGTCCCAAAGGAAGAAGTTATAATAAAATATAATATTAAGGAGTTTTATAAGCACCGTAATTTGCATATGAACTATAATTGCCTATTTTAAAAAACGGCCGGATACCGACATATGGAGGAGGCTCGCGTTTTATCTCAATTATGGATAATTCAAAATTTTCAAAACAGTTTAGAATTCGGCAGTCCTGTGCGTCTTGATGGTTTTCCAACAAATGGAGGAACCTACAGCCTTTTATGTCAGAAATTCGCTCGGAAGTTTTCACACCCCCTGCTGAGTGGAGAAAAAAATAGTGAAGGAAACAGTTATTTTTTTCAACTACTTATTCCAATAGCTGATACGTGAAACCAATGATTCATGGATAAAATACTAACTAAAAAATTAAAAAAAGATGTTATTTCCACAGATTGACTAAGCTTTACCTTTGACCGCGGACTACCTTACTAAATAAAATGGATAGACATGAAAAAAGGTTCAGCTTATTTGTAAAGACTTGGCCTTCTATACAACACTTCAGCAACCGAATAATTCCAATTTCCATTCGAAAAATGCTGCTTTTGAAGTTTGTTTTGAAATCCAAGCTCTTCATTAGAGTATATTCAACAAGCTTTGCAGGGAATCCACAATGCGAATGCACTTGTGAATAGATCTGCAAGTGTATTTTTATAAGAGTTTACAGTGAGATGTGTGTGGAGCAATGATGCAGCACATTCTCTATAAGAAATAATTCTAATTATTTTTCCTAAAAAATTAACTGCACTATTTATCAATGCAACAACTGAAATTGTGAAGATAATCAGAAGTTGTTTATTTTCTCGTCCTCATGTTTATTTTTGTTGCACTTCATTTGTCGTGAATTCATGGTTACTTCATTTCTTTCAACTTTGTTGTTGTTTGTTTGCTATGCCGGAATTTCAAACAAGTTGCTCTTGTCGCTCATTTAATTTTTTGTTTGTCATTGATGCTCTTTTTTGTTGCCGTTTCCAAATTGTTGTTAATTTGAGTCACTGTTATTTTTTTCTTATTTATTTTTTTTTTTTACTTTGGCAACTATAAAAATACTTATTATTTCCTTTGGTTAGTATTCCTTGTTTCCTTCTATTGTATAAATTGTTTTTCTTGTTGTAGTTCCAAGAAAATACTCCAACTTTTAGCTCATCTCGAAGCTTATACAATCAGGTGCATTTGCTGTCATATTCAACAACCACATCCATGGCGAAAGTCACAACGAAACTAGTACCCAAAGCTTCAATTGCCAAGTTGAACTGAAACTAAAGACAACTTTAAGTTGCCCTGCCTTGTTTACACTTACAAATTTACTTGCATTTCAGTATAGAAAGGCACTAGGAACGAACAGTTGGAAAGAACAAACTGAAATAAAAATACAAGTATGCGAAAAAACTTGCGAAGAGGTGGAGAAGAAGCGAGAAAAAAACTTCAGGAGCATTGAAGCGTTTCTTGGAAAACTAAGTGGCAAGTATGCAGAGCAAGTGCGACAAACGTGACCAACTTCGGCTGTGACAGCGTTGTTTGGCGTGCGGCGGGGCGAGGACGGAGATATGTTGATGGACATGCTAAATTGCTTCGCTCTGTGTTGGCATAACACCCTATCCACTAATATGCGTACTATACATACAAATGTATATATTTCTATGTATGCTTATGTACATTCATATGTATGCAAACTATTTGCAAATATGTAAGCAGTAAAGTATTTTGCAGAAGCGTGTCGAGTTACTTAACAGAACTCAAATATGGGCGCACTTCAATTTTGCAATGACACTTTTTTACATTTTCACATATTCCGCCATGATGAATGTCTCCGTCGAGTAGCGAAAAACCATGGTAGTAGAGCAACAAAGCCGAAGATCAACTAAAGTTTAAAATTTCAACACGCTGCATCTTAACCTCAATTTCAGTGAGTGTCAGTGTGTGTAAATAGTATGAAAACAAAACGTGAAATATTTTGAAATAATAAATGAAATAAAAATAATAGAATTTTGGTGCACAAGCAATATTGGAGAAATTTGATACTTCCTGAGCGCTCTCCGTAGCATTATGGTAGCAACAACGTGCAGGGAAAAATTTGTGGTTTGAATAATGTTCGACTTAAAAAATGTGTGCATAGTTTAATTAACTGGCAGCCGAACGAATCCGTACGGGGTGTGGGATAACCAAAGAGCACTGTTTGAGTTGAGAACTACCATGCATGGACTTTTGTGATTATTTTAGATCCTTTTTGATTAATTTTTATTTTGGAGTAATAAACCTCGAGCTTTTTAGGGTATAAAGGACTGTTTGTAACTCTTGAAATCACATAATTTTTTATAAGAATTTTCTGAAACAAATGCAGAGCCACCCAATTTTGGTGACAAATTGTCTCTTAATTATTACATTCTTTACAAGCTATGTACGTGTATGTATTTATTTCTTCGAAGTTTCGAAAAGTGACACTCAAATTGTTTCATTGCAAAAATTAATTAAAATATTGAAAAGAGAGTAGAATTAAGTGACTATGCAATTTTTGGTCAGGCCTGAAACTCGTCTAACTCTTCAAATGTAAATTACAACCGCAAAAAACGTATTTTATTTAAAGGGTAAATTTTTTGCGCCCTCACTGAAGAATGACTAAATTTTTTCTCATTCTGCACCAAGCAGAGATATTAATCTTATGTAGGTACCTTCCTACTAAATTTTTAGAAATTTCTTTTCAACGCTGTCACCTAGTCTGTCGCTAGTGTCGTTTACACAGGCACAACGGATTTATGCACTCCTTGCACTCAGGTAATGCGGATATACTCCATAGCAATGGTAGTTGGCTGGCATAAAATTTACATCTTAATTTCATTGCATATTTTAAATTAACCAAGTTGGCCGTTTAAGTTATACGGAATTGATAGGTGTTCAATTTTTATTTATTATTCTATGTTCTGTAGTTTCTCTACAATGGTCTAACAAAAGCACAAATATATATGTACATATATACACGTATGTACGAATGTAAATACATAAAAAAAATTTTCGTACATCTGGTATTCCACTGAGATCAATGAACTTACCTAATAGCCGCATCACCTCCTGAGGACTCAGATACACATTAAGATGTGCCTGCGAAATGCCACACAATAAGAACAGAAAGCAGCCGGAGTTTAGTAGAAATGTTGCAATATTTTCATGTGATATTTTAGCCATTTTATATATTGCAGTAGTTTAATTAGACCGAAATTGCTTACAAAAATTATTAATCTTTAAAAGGTCAAGCCACCAATTAAGCGAATTGGAAAATTTTATTTATCGAAGGTGGAAAAACATTGCAAATCCGAAATAGTAGGAATCGCACACTGGCCAACAGCAAACGTTTTTACTTTTGTGTTTATGTATATGACTACGATTGCAATGTAAACAAAATATTTATGGCAATTTCTATAGAATTTTTTTCTTGACACTTTACATCTTTTCTTATTTTTATTTTGCATCTGCTTTTGTGCTTCCACTGACACAGAGATGTAAACAAATTGGTTTTCCCGACTGCGTCTCGACAACTTAACAAATTCTCGGTCTACTTATTCGGGCACACTTAATTCCCCTAACTTCTCGGATTTACCAAGATTAAACAACCTTTTTCCACTAGTTACATGGTAAAACAATTAAAACCAACACGAAAAACCGGATTACACCAACAAATCTACAAATAATGACAATATTATAACGCGCAACTAACATCAATGGAAATTCCCTGTCAACTAAAATTGATATTTTTGACAGTTCATGCGGAAAAGGAACTGACAGCTGCCAAAGTGGAGTGTATTACATACGGGCGGCCTCTGCCGGCAAAAATATAAAGTAGGGAATGCAAAATCGAAGATAGATTAGGATTGTGTGTTTGTGCTACAAGTTTCCATGGTATAACAGTTGATGTAGATTCATTCTAGTAAAGGGGAAATACTGAAAGTGGATAGTGTGACCGTAGTTTAAGATCGTAAAATGGGTTTTAAGTTATATCTGCGTTATTAGAATTGTTAGCGAGTTTTCCCACCACTTTTCTTTTTGCAGCCACAACACTTAGACAGAGAATCCATAATCTATGGTCATGACAAAGGGAAATTCCTTGACAACATCTGAAAAAACTCGGGAAAGGAATTTAACTCGCTGTTAAATAACAGCCATCCAATATATAATTTTATTGACAGCGGCAGAAAAGGGATCTTCTGCTAAAAAGAGAGAAATCGTCTGAATTTAATTTCTCTAAGTTAATGTATGTATTTCTTTGCTTTGGTTTATTAACCAAACGAATTAAATAAGAGATTTCTAAAAAGAGTTTAAATCACTCCTATTTAACTTTTTATCAAAAAGTATATAAAAAATATCGAAAAATTCATAATATTAGCAACTATTGCAAGGAAACATATATATGTATGTATCATATATCAACAATTATTAAAACAATATACATCTATTTTTAAAACCCAAAAAATAACATAAAAAAATAAAGAAAAAAATAATATAGACACTTAGTTCATTTTTCGAATCAAATATACATAGGCCATAAGACATGAGAGTTTCTTTTTGAATACTCCTAAAGATTTTGTACAATAGATGCTATTGTCAGGCACCTAATAGATGACAATAAAGCCATCGAAATTTCATAGTTATGAGTGGCGCATTGGTTAGCGTCGATCGACTTTTGTCAAAGCTGCGGGAGTTCAAATCCTTTTCTCGATTGAGTTTTCGTTTTTTGAAATTGGCCAATTTTTGCAAGGAACTGCCTGTCGATGACGGGGTACAAAAAAAAAAAAAAAAAAGAATAGGCAAGTTTCTGTGGATGCGTATGTTATTCACATTAGTTGTTTGAATGCGAATAAGTCGGTTGTGGACGGCGTTTTCACTTTGTAGTGTCTTCAACAAAAATTTCTGATTTTTAACAAAACTTGTCATCGTAACTGCTTGTAAGTGAAGGGAGCAAGAATAAAGGGATCGCACAATACCTTGTGTGTATTTGTTTTTTGTATACGTATTAAGAGTTTTGAATGTATGTGTTCGGGAATTACTCTCAACTTAAAATTTAAATTTTTGACAGAATTTGACTTCTTCTTAAGGAAACCGTTTTTTGATGAGTAGAAGGAAAGAGGGTTGCGTGATTCTTCCTCTTATTTCAAATAGCTTATTGAATAGAGAAGTGCACACAGGATTGAAGCGAGTTACGCATATGGAGTTGTTGTTATAATTGCTCGTATCATCGAATTGCGATTATAAATGAGCGAAATAATAAAACTTGTTTGTATTTGAATAGCTTTATGCATGTCTACGTACTTCACTTTACTGGCGCAGATACCGGAGTGGAGGTCTTCCTCTTCGTCTGCTTCCACCGAAGAGTTTTGCAACGAAAACTTTTAAAGCTGGAGTATTCTTATCCGTCCCGACCACATGACGCAGCCAGCGTAGCCGCTGCTTCTTGATTTACTAAACTATGTCAATGTCGCCGTATATCTCATATCGCTCATCATTCCAGCTGATGCGGTATTCGCCGTTATCTACTCGTGGAGGACCGTAAATTTTACGTAAAATTTTTCTCTCGAAAACTCCTAAGGCCGACTCATCAGGTGTTGTCATCGGCCATGCTCCCGAACCATAAAGCAGGACGGGATCGATATGGGACTTGTAGAGTTTGGTTTTCGTTCGTCAGGAAAGCAGTTTACTTTTCAATTGCCTACTTTAGCGCAAAGTAGCACTTGTTGGCAAGAGTGATTCTGCGTTAAATTTCCAGGCTGACTTTGTTGTTGCTGTAAATACAGGTTCCAAGATAGACGAAGTTATCTACGACCTCAAGGTTATGATTGTCAACACTAACGTGGGAGCCGAGTCGCGAATGTGACGACTGTTTGTTTGATGACAGGAGATATTTCGTCTGACCCTCATTCACTACCAGACCCATATTCTTCGCTTTCTTAAAAAGTCTGGAGAAATCAAAATCACGTCGCGGTTGTTGAGGTCAATAATGCCAATAACATCGGCGTACGCCAGCAGCTGTACACGGCATGCTAATATTACATAAATGTATGAACATACAAACATGCATATGTACAATTCATATAGTATGTGTGTATGTATAATAAAAAATATATAGATTTTAACAAATTCATTAAGTACTATTTTTAAGTTTATTTTATATCTTAAATTTATGACTTATGCCGCAGTTATACCCCTCCCCGCACGCTGCTCTTCCTCAAGCCACAGCTCACAAAAATCAGGATATAAAGAAATCTCTGTACCCACTGCGCTGTCGATAACGGGAACAAACGCCATTCAAAAATGAATATTCCCTAAATGTTATTAAGCTATATGATTTTAAATCACAAAGAGCTTGATTATAGTAAACATTTGGAAAAAAATACACCTTCAATTAATATAAATTAATAAGCTGTGGCATATTCTGTACTTATACTGAAACAACAAAATATAACATTAGTTTTCTTCTTCTTATTCCTGTCCTTCGTACAGGACAGGCCGATCAACCTTCTCATTATTATAGATTCTCTACTGTGGCTTTTGGAAGAGCTGCGTGCGAGGTTAACGATGCGCTTGCGTTTCCCAGCAAGAAAGCTTCCTATTATTTGAGCCATCATATGTCAGGAATACATGATGTCATATGCCGTCAGCTCGTAGAACGATTTTCCCGAATGATAAATGTGATGTTTCCTTGTGCATTTTCGCCGAATTAAGCATTAATGCCGAAATAAATCAGCTTTTACAAAAATGTTCCCTACATATATGTACATACATACATGCAAACATGTTTAAGGGTCAGTCTTTATTCCAATATTTTTACATAATTCATGTACGCAGCAAACACGCAATCCAATATATAATCCATTAAACCATCCGCAGTAACACTTACCTCGAGCTTGTACAGACCGGCTGACAAAAAACTCACGGATACTTTTTTATATGTTGAGCAGACCTCTATTTCTTTCGCATAAAGTTTTGTTATTACGTTCTTATAAATTTCACTCTCTTCAATCCGTTATTAATATGCGATATATAACGTGATACGAGGTGTGTTTAAAAAATATCGCGAATTTTGTGTTTTCTCAAAAATTATTTATTTATTCACGAATATCTATTTTGTTCCCTTCAAAGTAGTTCCCATGAGATTTTATATAGTTGTGCCAACGATTTTTCCAATCTTCAAAGCACTTCATCCTCTTGGGCCTCTTCAGTTTAGGGAACAAGAAAAAGTTACAGAGGGCCAGATATGGGGAATGCGGTGGCTGCGGCATCAATAGTGTGTTGTTTCTGGCCAAAAAGTCACGCACAAGCAACGGGCGTTATCGTGGTGCAAAAGCCAATTTTTGTTCTTCCACAAATCCGGGCGTTTCTGGCGGATTGCTTCCAAAATGCGCATAACTTGCAGGTAATATTCCTTATTGACCGTTCTACCCTGTGGCAAGAACTCATGTTGCACCACGCCCCTGCAATTAATTTTTTCGTCTGTTGTTGAAGTGCTCGGGCGTCCGGCACGCTCTACGTCGTTCACATCTTCTCGGCCTTCTGAGAACATTTTGTACCACCGATAAGTGTTGCTTCGGTCCAAGGCAGCTTCTCCGTATGCCACAGTCAACATTCGGAATGTATTCGCGCACTTAATTTCGTTTTATACACAAAATTTGATACAAGTTCTTTGATCCATTTTTTTGAATAGGTGAAAATCGAAGACCATCCAGAACACGTACAAGCAAAGCAACTATCAACAATTAAGTGAACATTCAAAATGACCGAGCTTGTCGGTCTAAGTGACAGACATGAGTATCAACATAACCCCACAAAAAAATCGAGATTCGATTATACGTAACCGGCGAAAATTCAAAATTCGTGATACTTTTTGAACACACCTCGCATATTCGGAAACGAACGCCTTATAACTATACGATTCTGATATTGTATAAATAACACAATATGTAGTTGTTGTACTTATGCAGTGGATCTAACGCATAAATATAAATAAAAAAAACGTTTTATATTGAAATTGTATTTTTATTAAAAAATATATTAATTTAGAGATGTATATTTACATTTAATATTTTATATACAGTGCCTCAATAAAGAACTTGGACATACATTCCACTGTTATTAACTTGCAACTTCAAGCTAGATTTTTTTTTTAACCAGTTGATATTAAGCATTTTTGTTTTTTATATTTCTAAAATACCAATAACAATCAAATTAAATAGTTTACTATACCCTTGCTTCAAAAAATTTACATGTGTCATGCAAAAAAAGAAGTCGGATATCTGGTAATATTACAGTTGCTTGGCATTTTAAAAAGGGGAATTCCACAACTAGTTTGTTTTCGTTTAAAAATACATATGTATATAATCAAACGTAATAGCTTAAAATAAAATTTCAGTAGTTTTTTTTTTAAAAAAAGGTGATAAGTTCAAATATGGGTCGACAGTGTGGACAAAGCTAAATTGAAGTTAGGAAGTTAATTATTTGTCATTTTGAAATAGGGAAAACCATTCGGGAAATCGCAGAAATTGTGAGCAGACCTTGTTCGACTGTGCATGACGTGATTAAACAATTCAAGCAAACAAAATCCGTGGAAAACAAAAAGAAGTCTGGACGACAGAAGTTGTTTTCGGCTACAGATGAGTGGTGCATAGTGCAGCAAATCAAAAACAGTCCAAACATTAGCGCTCTCAAGCTCTCAACCGATTTTTGCAAAATCTCAATATAAATTGTAA